GGAATCTGACACCATCTGGTTCCCATGAGCTCCAGCATCTCCATAAAAGTGTACACATAAACACTTCTTTATTTTGTTTTTTTGAGACAAGGTTTCTCTACATAACTCTGGTTCTCCTGGAACTATGTAGTCCAGGCTGGCCTTGAACTCACAGAACTGCACCAACATTTGCTTCCAAGTGCTGGGACTAGAGGTATAAGCCACCATGCCCCACACATACACATTAACAACAACAACAAAAGAGCCTTGGGATGAGTTCAAGTACGATAGAGGAAGAGGCCCCGAGGTGACCGCTGGGACACCACACTCAAGGTGAGAAGGGAAGGAAACTGAAAAGGGGCCGAGACAAGCAAAGCTGCAGGGTGTGGTGAGCAGAAAGAAAGTGAAGAATGAAACAAGGTGTGGTCAGCTGTCAAACGTGCTCCAGTCAAATCCAGCCAGTGTCACCCCGCAGCCCGAAGCTAGTCCTTCCCGCTGCAGTGCGGCTAGCTTTTCTCATCACCTCTTCAAAATATTTCTTTGCAGCTAAGTTCTGTCTACTGCCTTCTCAGACACTTTTTGTGTTCACTGCACAATTACTGCAACTATTTTCCTAGCTGTCTGAGCATCTCCAGGTCTATAAACTCCAGTCTGTCTAGCACATAACAGCAACTGGTGTACCACTGCAGCAACGGTCTTATTTCACACACAGCTGCCGAGTGCTGCCTCTCTGGGGGCCAGGGCAGGAGGGGCATGATTTCAAGGTTGACCTGTACTACCTCATAAGCCGTGGATAGGAAATAAAGAAAATTATACATCTAATCCTTGGATTTGCAGCATCTGAAGTGCTGGCTGCTAATTCCATTCCCAATATTTTCTTTGTCTCACTTTTAATGTCGCATGCACTGCCCTGCTCCCAGATCAATTACCCCAAGCTGATTGGCTCGCTAACCAGGCCTTAGTGACGCCTGCAGACTTGAGGGCCAGTGTCCCTGAAGCCCACGAGACTTCTTCAGACAGCAGTGAACTTCAAAACACTGACCCGAATTAGAGAATTGCAGGAGGCAGGATAACATTTTATATTTGTATTTTAGAAAATGACTTACTTTTTATGTGCACTGATGTTTTGACTGCTAGCGTGTCTGAGGGCACCAGATCCTCTGGGACTGGATCCACAGACAGCCACGAGCTGCCGGGTGGATGCTGGGAACTGAACCGGGTCCTCTGGAAGAGCAGCCAATGCTCCCAATTAAGTGTTATCTCTTCAAACCTCAGGATGACATTTTAGCAGGAGACGTGGGTAAGAGGGTCAGGAAAAGGCTGGTAGGTATGGGATGAGGAGTTTCCCTAAATCTTCACAAAATGAGTGGGAGTAGACAGAGGTCTACAGATCAGTTACTATTTGTGTAGAAGAGTCAGCCATCAGTAGAAAAGTAACAACCTGGACATCAGAGCCAGTTGGACAAAAGCCTCCAGTGACAGCACCAGGACCTCCACTGTTATCAAAGACAAGTCCAGAGCCAGCTAGAGGTCAAGTGAACCTGTTGCACACACTAGTGTTTCAAAGCCAGTGCTCCCGATACCATTCCCTTTCTCATGCTCAGAGACTGCAAAGGGGTTGGCTCGAAATTCCTGAGTACTTGGCAGACAGATATTCAGTATAAACCTAGTAAATTATTGTGGAAGCGACATTGACACACTGGGACACCTCTGATGAAGGAATGAGCCACTAGAAATAGTTGGCTTGGATGTGACTCAGAGGCTTGAGTTCCTATTGAACAGGCAGAGCTGAGGGGAACTGGGGAGGGGCTAAAATTCACACTCTAAACTTCAGTCAGCAGGGTCCAATCACTTACTGCAGCTCCAGGAGTTAGGGAGATGCTGGATGCAACAACTCTCCTTTTCAGAAGCAACGCCTCCAGCACAAGATCATCCAGCACAAGATCAGCACAAACCACTCATCTGTGAAAAGGTCAGGACTGATGAAGACCTCCAGATGCTTGCTGAGAATAGCAGCTGAGGGGCTGCTCAAACGGAGGCTGAAACAGGCCTGTACTGCGGTCGACACTACAGCTAAAACGAATGTGGGCTGACGCAAGGATCTGGTCCATGGTGGTTCCTACTGAGAGCAGATTTGAGTAAGCATGTCTCCACTGGTGATGCCAACCCCAGCAAACTGAACTTTGTACACTGATTTCTAAATGACAGGGTCTGTCCTATTTTTGTAGCTGGTGACTCTGACAGGAACACAAGACCTACTTAAAAATGTCATTAGCCATTAATTATGCTTTTTTATAGAGAGGTTTTAGGCTCTGTGACTGGGGGTAGGAAAAAGTTATACACGGAGTCCTTTTAGAGGATTAGATGATGCTAGAGGACACTGAATAGTCCTAAATTCCCAGCTTTACCTTTATCTGTTATCATTTTAACATATTCAAGATTAAAATGGTTCAGTACTAAAAAACCCAATAATCTAGTGAGTCTCTTCACTATGAAAACACAGACTGTTACAAGGTTAGGCCTGTAACACTAGGCATTAGTGTAATTGCTAGTACAGCTGGAGAAGCAAATGTAATTTGTGTTTGAGGACATCTGAAGGATCTGTCAGTCATATGAAGGAACGCAATGAAGGACTTTCTATGGCTGTTCTCTGGTTCAGATAGGCAGGCTGAAAATATCCAACAGAAAAAATACATTTGAAAACTATATGGGGTGATGTTCCCCTGTAGTCCTACCAGCTGGGAGGTAAAGGCAGGGAAGCAGAAGTTCCAGGGGACTCTCAGCTACACAGAGTTCAAGGCCAGCTCAACAGCGATACACTTGATTCAGACACCTGTGAACTTGGTGGCTCCGAAGAATGTCCTGTTTGCTCTCAGGACTGCCTGACCTGGGGATTCCCACCAATGCCCAGCTGGACAGAGGTTCCCTACCACATGCTAGCCTAAGTCATCAAAGCTCCTAAATGCAGCTCATACCACCTGCCTGTCATTTCTGTATCACAAAAGATGGCCTGTAATTACAGGGTGCCATTTGCTCTCCAACAATCTGAACAAGATACATGCCTCTTCTTCCTCCATTCTCTGCGAATTCTCAGGCCAGATGAATATCTCTGAAAACAAAGAGGGCCAGGTGGTGGTGGTTCACACTTTTAATCCCATTCTGAAGAGGCAGAGGCACACGCAGAGGCACAGGCAGGTGGACCTGAGTTGAAGGTCATCCTGGTCTATAGTGAGTTATAAGATAACCAGGGCTACAAAGAGAAACCCTGGCTCAAAACAAACAAACAAACACAAAACAAAAACAAAACAAAAAAACCCCCAAAACCCCCCAAAAAAACAATCAAAAAAAAAAAAACCAAAACCAAAACCAAGAAAACAGAGCAGATCACAACACAACAACAACAAAAAAAGAAAACACAGAGGAATAGAATTGTATTGTGAACAATACCACAGATCATCGTGGCTGTGTACAAATGAGCCCGATTTCAAATATGATCCCGTTTGATTTTTCTTCCTTCATACTCATGGATTTTATCCTGTTATTTAAATTATGGTGCAACAGGTTAACAGGAACCCCAACTCCTCTCAGAACAGTCATCAACAGTCTTATTAAATGTAATCTGGAATTCTCTAGCATGAGCCACGTGTACCACATTTTTGAAAATAAAGATAAGTTATCTGAATAGGTTTTTAAACAAGCAGCCACAGAAAGATAACCATTAAAAGTTATTGGTGGGCCAGCAAGATATGGCTAAGTGGTTAAGGGTGCTTGCTGCCAAGACTGACACCCTGAGTTCTATCTCTAGGACCCACAGTGGAAGGAGAGCTAACTTCCACTCCTGCTGTGGCATGCAGGTATGCTTCCCTCCCATCCTCCCACCTCAAAAAAAGCTAGTTGTTCAATGTTAAACCTGAATTCTTTTCTTAGCATACTCCACTTAGTAACACTGAATGGGAAAATCCTAACATGGCGAGGGGACACTTCCCCCTCATACTTAGACAGGAACACACTCTGCCTCAGTCACTAGGGCTGCATCCCAACAAGCTAGCCACAGTCGGAGCAAGGCTACCCAAGTTCTGAGAGGCTCAATGATGGCTAAGTGGTAACTTATGCTTTGAATTCCTTCCCTGTCAGCAAGACCACGAAATCCTTCTTCATTCTCAAGAGTGAGGCACCTGCTGAGAGCCCATTCTCCATCCTCCCTCATCTTCTCTGTGGAAACACGTAGTCTGAAGATGAGGGAATTCCGATCTTGCTCTATAAATATTTCACTTCCAACTTCTAGGAATGAAGGCAAACATATTTACCTGGCTTTTTAGTAAGTCATAAAACTGAAATGTTCAAATAAAAATTAGGTATTTTAGCCAGCACTACTTCTTGATTTCTCTCTCTGGTCACTGGACCCTTAGCTCACCAGGTTTCAGGTGCTCCTCAGCAGGAACGAGGCAGGCTGGCTGGCAGTGGCTTGCCATGTGGGGTTTACTCAGTTAAACTACAAGTGGGGGTCAGGAGTTCTAAAGTCCCCAGGAATCCTTTACTCCAGTGTCACCTGTAAAGTCGCCATGGTTACCCTTCTGACCATACCACACGTCCTCCCTGGCATCCAATCCTTCAGTGACCTCTCCTCAGTTTGTCAAAACTCCAAAGGGGAAAATCCCCAGTCAGCAGAACACTCATATTCAAACCAATGTCGTGCAAAAATACAAGTGAGTTTTCCTTATGTAACTGATATTGCTATTTTCCCGCCTTTACTGAAAGTGCACTTTGTCTAGTCAGCCGATGTTTTCCTGTTTGCTTCTCCTTTACTGTGATTGAAACTCAGTGTTATTTCTTTTATTATTATGTTTACAACTTCCATTCTAGGATCTGTGCTCTTTGATCAACTGTAAATCAGTGAACATCACAAGCTTGGGGAGGGGAGGAGGTGGGGGGGGCAGGGGGCAGGAGGCAGGGGGAGAGGGCAGGGAGCAGGAGAAGGAGAAAAGGGGCATTATCAGGATCTTACTTGAGCCACCACATAATTTTTGTAAGAAAACATTCATCTTTATTTTGTAATCTAAACCATTATTTTATGATATCATCTTTTAGCATACTTAGATGGGTTGACATTCATGTGGACAGCAAGCTTGCTCACAGATCAACAACAGCAGGCGGCTCCAGGCAGCCATCGGGAGAGTGCAGCAAACTTCCCTTACTGTGGTGGGAGTGGGAGTTCCAGTAACCTCTGGATGTTTTTGGTAATGATAAGGAAAAGCTACTGCAGTGAAGACACAGGTCACCTTCAGGCTTTAAAGACTGGCTGCCAGGGGCCACAATCACATAGTAATCCAGGAGCCAAAAAAAAGAAAAAAGAAAAAAGAAAAAAGAAAAAAGAAAGGGAAAAAAAAAAAAACCAAAACACTGGAAAGGAATGGGAGCTTCAAAATATTCAAAAATTCTCGTATACAGATACTTGGTATACTATGATTTGACAGGCTTATAGTGACCAACAAAACAGCAAAGACAGATAATATTATTTATACTTTTAGTATACAGAAGACAGATTTTCAAGTCACAGTAATAAACCCTGTGAGAGCTCCTGAGACAAGGTACCCTATGCCCTGCACCCTTGCTATGCCAGTGACAAACACAGAATACAAAGTGGCTTCTAGGAGATTCAGGAGGTCCTTGAAAAGTGACAAACTTTATGTTATTAAATGACAAAACATAGTTAGAGGCTTTATTTAAAAATCTCTCACTGTTCATTATCAAAGTTACAAGATTGTTTGCATACCAATAGACTGACTGTAAACAGGAAATTCTCATTAAGGAAAGATGGGTTTACTGTAATTTGATCTTTTACAAAAAATTACTGCAAGTTATTAATAACAGAATTTCTCTTTTACTTTCTTAAGTCTAATTCTATTGAAAATTCAACCAATGTTTCCACTCTCCTGCCTAAGGTTCAGCCATGGTCACCTTAGGAAACACCCACTGATGTGTTAATCAGAAAGACAAACTGTGGCACGTTTCCATTTTGTTTTTCATTGAGCAAAGGCTTCGGCTGCATTGCATTTCAAGAGAAGAAGAGGCTGCAGTGGTCCGGTCTGTCTCAGCTGAGGTTTCCAGACGGCCGGCGGAGGAGCGAAGCAGCGGTGCACACTCAGCCCTGCCCGGGTGCCCTATCTCTCATGGAATCTTCTCCTCTTTGGCTTGCCTCAGCCCAGGTTTCTGTTGCCTCCACTGAGCCTGACTGAAGCAAGGGTGTCACGCTTTGGTGTCCGGACTCAAGGTGGTTCCATCCAGCGAGGCCGCCACGCTCTTCAGTCTGTCGGCTGGGGGACGATGCTGATGTGAAGAAAGTTATCTGGGTAGCTCAGATGCTCACTCAGCCACTGCAGAGGCGTCTCCAGCATCGGCTCGATCCCGTGAATCATCACTTGGCTCCTCTTCTCTCCATCTGCTCCAAGAAAGAAAGCCAATAGTCATCAATAGAAAAGAAAACCACAGAGAGGACGATGCATTGTCTTTTCAGATTCCTTAGTGAAGTAAATGGATTTCAAGCTTGTTTTATCCCCTCAACAGGAAATGAAGACAAGGAGAAAGTTTAAATGTTGCAAAATGTCTCATCCTAAACAGAAACCTGAGGGCTGCAGTGAATTCTGATAAAAATTCTGTTGCTCTGCGAAAGTATTTGTTCTTTCTTAATTACTGTGCTTGCCTGAGATTGACGTTAGTGAAACCATCCTGGAGAAAACAGCAGAGTGAACTCACTGACCAAAATACTCTAGGTACACAGTTAAAACCACTACAGAAAGAAAGCTGTTAAAAACGGCAACACTGTGGAAGGCCACACAACACACTCTTAGAAATGTATAGCAGAGATGATCCAGAATCAGACCAGAATTTGAGAGGATGCTTAACAGCTGGGAGCTTTGCTGATTCTCTGAAATGTGCTCAAGTCTTTCCCAAAGTGTTGGAAGTATAATGAAAAAAGGACACTTACAGCTGTGATCACAGGAACCAATAATCTGACTTACAGATTCTACAGTAAGAGTCACAAAACCTGACTAGTTTTGGCTAATATTTGCTTGCTAATTAAAATAGCACTAGACAGACCACTGTAGGACTCAGCAGAGAAAAGCACTTGCTGGCAGGCCAGATGGCCTTGAGTTTGATCCCTTACATGGTAGAAGGAGAGAACATAGTCCCCCAAGTTGTCTTCTGACCTCCATATTCATACCAAGAAATGTGGGCAACCATCTCTACACTAAAATGAATTCAAATATAATAAAAATTTAAAGGATGCTGCAATTAATGCCTTTAAATTCAAATTTTATTAACAATTAAAAAAGCAAAACAAAACCCCTAATGTAAAGAACACCCCTCCAAAATACCTCCCCAACCAAACAAAAATTAATCAAAAAGGAAAAGGAGGAACTATTTATTACCCCACAGTATAACTCCTTAACAGTGTCCTCAAAATACAATGGCAACCCTCAGCATTCTGGGAATGAAACACAACAACTGGGGAAACTTCTCTGGTGGACAGGAGCACTACAGCTGCTGCTGGCGTTTCGGCTGTGCTCCAAGTGCCCTTCACTGCTCTAAGGGCTGGGACGGCCTGTGACACATGAAAGCAGAACCTTTACAGAAATAGTCAGCCTTCTAACAGAGGCAGAAGGGTGGAAGCAGGGAGAGAGCGACAGATGGAAACACCATAGTCAAAAGGGAATTTGCAAATTAAAAACCTGGTAAGCATGCTACCAGCTACCAACTTCAAACAGGACCAAACAAAGCTTCCCCTTATCCCTGTCACAGACCACTGTCTTAGGACCCTGAAACCTAAAAATTGCCTGTCTTGCTTTCCTTTCCCTAAGCCATCTTAAACAAACAAACAAACAAACAAACCAAAAACCAAAACCAAACAAAAATCCCTCTACTTCTATTACTTAGTTACTGTATGAATCTGAGTCTGAATGGGTCTGTGTAGTGAGCAGACTGTCCAGAAGCCAGATGAGGGGTTGGATCTTCTGGGCCTGGATTACAGGCAACTGTGAGCTGCCCTACATGGGTGAGGGGACGCGACCTGGGGTCCTCTACAGGAGCAGCACACATCTAAAGGCTGAGCCGTCCCTCCAGTCCTCTCGCCAGCTCTGTTGCATCTATGCAGACATTTTTATTACGCAGCTATAATCACAGCATTCATACAATGGATGGCTTCAGAATGCTGGTCAGGAGCATCTACAGACAGAAGATGAAGCTGTACACAGAGCACAGACGACTGCATCTCTACTCTCTGGGAAGACTTAAGAACCGGGGTTAAGATGGACGAACACACATTCTCTACAGTGATTCATCTCTCTAAGTTCTATATTGCCAAGGTTTTAATGTATTAAATCTTTCTTAGAATATCTGAAGACATTTCCAGTATGGTTCTCTTAATATTCTTACTATATATTTCTTTGAGCTATTTTAATATTCTCAGAATTTCCTCCTACTTAGAACTGAGTCAAAAACCGAAAGCGTGGTGAGAGTAAAAGTTCCTTCTGTGTACAGTTCTCAAGCCAGTCACCCTTTCTGAGAGAGTAAAAACTGACAAGTCACTCCTCATTCTCAGCAGAGGTCCTGAGGCCATTAAACAGCAGAGTGAATTCACTCGAGTGTGCACATGTGCCTGACAAGGCAGGCGACCAGACCTGTCAGAGCAGATGGGAGTCCCCCATGCAAGCTAGAGAACTCTAACTGCATCAAACTTGCCTCGCGGTCCCACCGTGTACTGGGTGGGCAAGTTCTGGTTCTCCAGCTTGCAAGCTGGGGTCACTCTTAACTCTTGCATGATTTTGTTCTAAGCTTGGACACCTAAGTTGGGCCTACCTGGGCTATACCTCTCTTCAGAACAACTGAAGATGTGAGCTAAGGCCTGGCATGGTGGCCTTGTTTGAAATCTGAGCACATGGGAGGCAGAGTCCAGAGAACAGCTCTTACAATATCTGAAAACATTTCTAGTATATGGTTCTCTTAATATTCTTACTCTATAGACTAAGACCCCATTTCAAAACAAAGGAAAAGCAAGCAAGGACATGACGGCGATGTGAAACACTGTGTCACAGCATGCATCGGTCCAACACTTCATAGCATTTCTTCTTTGCTTTGCTTTCCAACTTCTCTCCAAAAGTTAACTAAACAGGATTCTTGGGATGGGGCAGGCTTTCCCTGGCAACTGTAGGCAAAGCTCCTGTTCATGGATGTCCTACAACTAGCATGGTACTGGCACACTGTGATTATGCAATGCGGTTTTACAGCTGCAAGTGGGGTGGGCTGGCAGAACACCTTCAGAACAGGGTCTGATGGCCAACCCTGCCATCAGGCAGAGTGTGACTGTGGAACTGCCAGAGCTAGTGAGGTAAAGGTTAAAGGTTCAAGATAGCTCCAAATCCATACAAAGCGCATATGTTCTCACCTTATTTTATTTAAGCATTCATAAATAACAAGAAAGCATGGCTGGGTATTTGTCAATTGCCTACACTAACAAAAGGAGGACTGATGAATTAATTCATATTTCTCCCTAACAGAAAGGAAGCCCTCAATGAGCTCACTACACTAAACATGTTTGGCAGCCATGCCTGTTTCTCAATGAGACTCGAGACTTCATACTTGAAGTCTTGACTGAGGACCACACTGCATACCTCTCCCACTTGGGATTTGGTCTTTTGTTGTCAGATGACTAAACCAGGGATTGCAAGGCAAGCACTACCATCAAAGCTTTGCCCCAGACATCACTGGAGTTTCTAAAACAGTGTGTGGAGGTGCCTGCTCACTGCCCTCTAGGACTGCCCTCTGTGACCTCTAGTCACAGGTGTCCACACCTGTGACTACCAAGAGATCTTCCCAAGACCAGTCCCATTAGCTTTCGAGCATGGAGCTGGGGAGGGGCTCCAGGCGACACCCCTCCCTGACGAGTTTTAGATGATGTTCTCATTGTCGTCCCACTGGCTCACCAAGCTAGACTATCTGAGATGAGCAGAAGGCAGTTGTCTCTCCAGGAGAAGCTCACCCAGTAGAAGCTATAAACTAGGCAAGCATTTAAGACAGTAATCAAGAGAAGCAGCTGTGATCATTCACACGTCACTTCTGCAGGGAACTCTGATTCTGCTATAACTTTCCATTTGTGATGTGAGTTTTCTAAAAAAAAAAAAATATATTTACAGAACTATAGTACAGTTAGCAAAATTTAAAAATGAAATCAGACTATTAAGTAGTTTATAGTCAAATTTATCAACAGTCCCAATATTCCTGTCCCCAGTCTGGGGCTTGGTCCAGTTCAGTCTCAGGCTGAGCTGCTTTTAGACAATCTTCATGTACAAACCATTTATGAAGACCAGTCATTTCCCATAGTTCTGAGGCCAAGCTGAAGATCAAGATAGCAGAATGGTGGGCAAGAGAGAAGGCCACAGCCACAGGCACAGCCACAGCCCTTTCAAAGGCTCTGACCCCTGCAAAGCTGCAGGGTGAACCTTCCAGGTCAGGGTTCTAAGACATGTCAAACACAGGAAGGGTTCGCCTGTGGCACCGAGGTTTCATGCTCCAATCTCCTTCATGTAAGAGGGTTTAGACTTCTAGTTCTGGAAAGTATATATACAGTATTATGTGTCTACCCAGTAAAATCCAGTATACTTTAAGTGAATAGTGTTAGTATGGTTGTTATTTTAAGGAAAATATATTCAGAGTCTGGAAAGACCACCCTAAGGCTCAGGACTGGTTCTGTTCTTATAACAGGGGCCTGGGTTTGGTTCCCAGCATGGTATACATAGCACCCTCTACCTTGCAAGTACATATAAAGATTAAAAACAAAAATGAACTATGTATGCATGTGTGTAATGTTTTGGCTCTGTGAAAATGGTAAAAAAAAACCACAGAAACAAACAGAAAGAGGAAAAATTCTACTGGTTAAGTTGCTCATGAGAAGTACAGGTATACATAAGGAATGTTGCCAGTATACAGATATATGTACAACAAGTGTAAATGCACACAATAATATAAGTCGGACATAAAAGAGAAAGGCCAATCAAGCAGACAGGCGCTACTACCAGACATTCGAGGAGTTGGACCTTGAATCCCCACCCTGGGCACGGGTGACTAACCTCGTTCCTCTGAACGAGGTTCCTCGTTCCTTGTTCCTGTGTTTAACATGTCCTTACACAGAAAGGGAAGGTTTCATACATGGTCACAGCTCAGTCTGATCTACCACCAGCAGCACGAGGAAGGTTAATGGAAGACAAACCCACAGGCTGGCTGGTCCCTCTGCCGTCCGGCCTTCTCATGGAACCTCACTGACGTCTGTGCTCAGACGTGCTCCACATGACAACAGACGCCATCACACCCTGGCTTGACGTTTCCTCAGGAGGCTAGGTTGGTAATGCAGCTGAAGGGTGACGTATGGCTGAGATGTAGTTCAAG